CCTTCTCCTCTCCAGGGGAACATTCCCAGGGGCTCTGAGCTCTCCCTGGATCCTTCTCCTCTCCAGGGAGCCCCCCCAGCTCTCCCAGCCTGGCTCCAGAGGGGCTCCAGCCCTGCAGCAGCCCCGGGGGTTCCTCTGGGCTCCGCATGCTCCTGATGTTGGCCCTGCACGTGGGGCCTCACCTGAGCAGGGCAGAGGAGCAGGATTCCCCCTCTCCTTTTCTGCTGCCCACACTGGGGGGGTCAGCCCAGTCCCCTGAATTTCCTTCTGGCTCCTGCTTTTAGTGACACTTCAGCCAAGGTTTGATTTTGGGCGATTCATCAGCCCAACCCAGCAGCTCTGGCTGTCAGACAATTGTGTCTGCATCAGGCTGTGCTGGTTTGGAGGTTTGCTCCTGCTATTTTCCTTGTAAAAGGAATGTAATGTGAACTTTTCAGACATGCACCTTTTGCAGGTTATTCCCTTGCCCTAAGTGTGTGTGTCCCTCTGTTTTCCAGGTGGGATTCATCGACTACATCGTCCACCCGCTCTGGGAGACGTGGGCTGACCTGGTGCAGCCCGACGCCCAGGACATCCTGGACACTCTGGAGGACAACAGGAACTGGTACCAGAGCATGATACCTCAGAGCCCATCCCCTCCCCTGGAGGAGCGGGGCCAGGACTGCCAGGGCCTCATGGAGAAGTTCCAGTTTGAACTGACGCTGGAGGAGGAGGATTCGGACGGGCCCGAGAAGGACGGCGAGAACCTCGGCTACTTCAGCAATACAGAGACGCTCTGCGTGGCCCAGCCCGGGGAGGAGGAGCCCCAGAGGGAGGCCACCATCGAGATTGTGACAGAAGACACATCTCCTGTGGACACATAATGGCCTGGCCCCGCGGGAGTGGCTTTGAAACACTTGCGGAGCTTGCGAGCAGCCTCCGACAGCCTCTGCAGCCGGGGCTGAGCCTCTGCCACGGGGCTGGCAGATCCTCCAGCTGCTTGAGATTGGAGTCAGGGTTACAGATGGGGTAGGGAATGTTGCTCAGGAAATGCACGGGTGATTTGCCTTGTGGTTTGAGCCTGGTCAGCCGAGAGCACCGCGTTGTCCCAGAGCTGGCTTGGGTCGGGCCGAGGCGGCGCTGACACACAACTGAGAGATTTTATACTGTTAGTTTTGGAGTTTATACCAGTTAGACTGATAGAAACTACTGATCAATAACTCATATCCAACCTGTCCACCTGTCTGCAGACCTGTGTGCCTTCTTTGTAAACACTTTCATGTCTTTTCAAGAGTCTCTTAATTCAACACACGGAGCTTGGTAGTTCAAAAGCGACACAAGGTGTTCCGGAAGCGACGGCTACTTTTTGGATTCTTCCTGTTACCAGAAGCAGTCTTCCTTTTTTTTCGTGGGCAATACCTGTCATTTTATTGCAGTCAATCACTTTGACAGACTGAACAGAAGGGGAAACCCTCTGCTTTGCATTACTGCACCTTCAGTGTGTTCTTAATCCCCCCGGTGACCCGCTGGGAGTCGCGCGGTGCCATCGTGCACCGTTCCCTCGCTGGGAACAGCGGGAATTCTTTTCCTCCCGGGGTTTGGGTTTGTGGGGAGCAGGACAGAGGGCAGGTTTTTTTTTTTTTCCCCTGGCACAGCTCAGTCCATCCCTGAGTAAGCGTGGCAAGGCAGTGTGTGACACGCCTTCCCCCTCGGCAGCTCCCTGGAATTTGCACGCTCGGATATTTGTGTTCCTCTGGCCTCTCGTCCACGTTCCCTAGGTTTAGGTCCACCATCCTCCTCCTCCTCCTGCACTGCCTCGAGCTCTACCACCTCCATTACTGTTTATAACAGTGTATTTATTACCTACTGTACATACTGTAATGTTTTGTAAGTTATTAATTTATATGAATTAGCATCGCCTGTCGGCGGCGATGTTAATGGGGTAGAAAACTCGGAATAAGAGTTGCCTTTTTTTCTTGTAACCTTTTGTATTGCATAAAGTCCAAGAACCTGAACATAGCTGAAGAGACAGACACAACCCAGGAAGGGCATTCGGGTGGCAGCCGCCCGTGAGGAGGGGACACCACATCCCAGGGCAGCGAATTTGGGAATTTGCCAGGAACACGGAGAGAGGGAACCGAACAAAGAGCTCCCCACGCCCGGGCTGGCTGTTCAATGTCACCATGTTCCAACTTCTGAACAACCCAATGTGAATCTCTATGACAAAAAAAGAAAAAAAATAATGTGAACTGATGTAATAATTGTGCTGTGAAACTTCCTCTGACAAAGCTTGTCCGGCATCGTGAGCGGTGTCAATCTCAGTTTGTAAAATATGTTTCAAGCTTTTTGGTCCAACTCGTGACTAATTAGTTCATGACAATAGCACAGTTGTGCATGATCAATGGGTTTGTTTGTCTGTTGAACACTGCATTGTTCCAGGTGGTTATTTTATTGTTCCCCAAAGTTTCACACTATGTATGTTATAGTATTCTATATTGTGTTCAGACGCATTCTTAAGAGATTTTTATATGAAGTGAATAAATGAAAGCATGGCCCAGCCTGCGGCTCTTCAGGGGGTTTTTGTCTACAAGGCAGCGTGGGCCGTGTCACCACAGCTCAGGGGACAGAAAATGGGACCCCCAAACCCAGAATTCCCCTGTGTCTCCATCCCAGAACCCTCCTAGGGCCAAAACCCAGAACCCTGATGTGGCCAAAACACAAACCCCTCTGGTGGCTGAAATCCAGAACCTTCCTTTGGCCAAAATCCAAAACCTCCCACAGCTGAGAACACTCCTGGAGCCAAAACCCCAAACCCTCCAATGGCTGAAACCCAAAGCCTCCTCTGCCCTAAACCCAGAACCTCCCATGGCTCAATCCCAGAACCTTCCTACAGCCTAAACTCAGAACCCTTCTGTGGCCAAAATGCAAAATCCTCCTGTGGCTGAAACCCAGAACCTCCGACGTCCTAAACCCCAAACCTCCAATGTCCAATGTCCCAGAACCTTCAATGTCTGAAACCCAGAACCTCCCATGGCTGAAGTCCAGACCCTCCAACGTCCTAAACCCAAAATCTCCAGTGTCCTAAACCCAGAACCTCCAACATCCTAAACCCAGAACCTTCAATGTCTGAAACCCAGAACCTCCAATGTCCTAAACCCAGAACCTCCAATGTCCTAAACCCAGAACCTCCAATATCAAATGTCCCAGAATCTTCCATGTCCTAAACCCAGACCCTCCCATGTCCTAAACCCAGAATCTCCAATGTCCTAAACAGAATGTCCCATTTCTAAACCCAGAATCTGCCATGACCTAAGCCCAGAACCTTCTGTGGCTGAAGTCCAGAACCTCCCATGTCTAAACCCAGAACCTCCCATGTCTAAACCCAGAACCTCCCATGTAAAAACCCAAAATCTCCCATGTCTAAACCCAAAATCTCCCATGTCTAAACCCAGAATCTCCCATGTCTAAATGCAGAATCTCCAATGTAAAAACCCAAAATCTCCCATGTCTAAACCCAGAACCTCCCATGTCCCAACCCAGAATCTCCCATGTCCCAACCCAGAACCTCCCATGTCCCAACCCAAAATCTCCCATGTCTAAACCCAGAACCTCCCATGTCCCAACCCAGAATCTCCCATGTCCCAACCCAGACCCTCCCATGTCCCAACCCAGAATCTCCCATGTCCCAACCCAGAATCTCCCATGTCCCAACCCAGAATCTCCCATGTCTAAACCCAGAATCTCCCATGTCCCAACCCAGAACCTCCCATGTGTAAACCCAGAATCTCCAATGTCTAAACCCAGAATCTCCCATGTCTAGACCCAGAATCTTCCATGTCCTAAACCCAGAATCTCCCATGTCCCAACCCAGAATCTCCCATGTCCCAACCCAGAATCTCCCATGTAAAAACCCAAAGTCTCCCATGTCTAAACCCAGACCCTCCCATGTCCCAGCCCAGACCCTCCCATGTCTAACCCCAGAATTCCCACGGCATCCGCAGCGGCTCCATCGCCGCTGGCCCGGCGGGGCCGTTCCTCCGGCCGGGGCAGAGGAGCGCTCGGGCGGCTCGGCCGCCCCCCGGCACGCCCGGTCCCTCGTCCTTCCTGCGGTGCCAGCGGAGGCGACAGGAAGGCGAGCGCAGACGGGAAGCGGTGGCCGCGCACGGCCCGGCCCGCGGGAGCTTTCATGTCCCGGCCTGACCCAAACCAAGCGACTTTCCAGTAAAAAACATCCTGTGCCAGGGCAGGAGAGCGGCTCCGGCGGTGTCCCTGCGCCGCTCCGCTGCCTTTCCCTGGTGGAGCGACGGGAAACACGCGTGGATCTCCTGCTGCATTCCCACCCAGCCGCCTCCTGTCCATCCCTGCTGGCCCAGCAGAAGGGGCTTCAGCCCCTGGATCCCGCGGGATTTTCAACCTCTGCAACTCCTTGGTGGAAATTCCTTGGTAGAAACCCCTTGAAGGGCCAGTAGTGATTTGACTTTCCCGGTGGATTAGCAGAATCCCAGAATGGGGTTGGGTTGGAAGGACTTTAAATCCCACCCATCCCACCCCTGCCCTGGCAGGGACACCTCCCACTGTCCCAGGAGCTCCAGCCCCAGTGTCCAGCCTGGCCTGGGGCACTCCAGGGATCCAGGGACAGCCACAGCTGCTCTGGGAATTCCATCCCAGCCCTGCCCAACTTCCCAGGGAACAATTCCTTATCAATACCCCAACTAAATCTCTCCCCTTTTAATTTAAACCATCCCCTTCACCCCAACTCATCCTTCCCACATCCCTGGGCTGGGGGAGCCGAGTCCTGCCCGCGGCTCCCGGGGATGTGCGGGGATGTGCGGGGATGTGCGGGGATGTGCGGGGATGTGCGGGGATGTGCAGGGATGTGCGGGGATGTGCGGGGATGGTTGGGCTGGAACAGCAGCGGCACTTCTGGGGAACCACTGAACCGGGAGGGAGCAGCGGCGCTGCGGCTGCGGGCGGAGCACCCACGGGGCTCAGGGTGGGTGCCCGGGGTGCTCTGCCCGCGCCCCCTCTCCCCCAGGCCGCGCTCTCGTCATTCCCGTCCCTCCCATGACCTGGTTCTGCCAGGCAGCTCCCCCGGGATCCCGCAGCTCCGAGCCGCCCCATCCCCGCAGCAGCAGCCGGGAGAACGCGCCAGCGGGCGCTCAGCGCAGAACCAGCCCGGAGCCTTCTGCTCTCCCTGGTTTGAGGGTGGAAACCCCCGACCAGGTGCTGGGAGCGTCGCTGGCTCAGAGCCCTCCGTTCTGTGGCACACAGGGACAGGCGAACGGAAGATTTCGGGGTGTGATGGAAAGCAAGACCCTTCCCCCCTCATCCTTTGGTATATAATCCATCACCCCTGAGACACGTAACCCCTCCTAACTCAGTAGTTTTCCACTCCACACTAACCCTAGAGACCCTACCTTCTTCCCTTGAGGTAGCAAAGCCCCTGCAGACTATTTAACCTCACGAGATAAGGTAATAACGCCATTTGAGCATCCACCACGTTGGAACCTGTGCGTGTCTGTGGCCCCAGTGGCCGGGCGAGGCCGGGCTGCCGTGCTGTCCCTGGAACCAGGTCGCCTTTTCTTCTCATCTGAAGGCAGCACGTTCCTCAGGGGATGAGGGTTCCCCTGGCGCTGCTCTCCGCGCTGACATCCAGAGCTGCCGTGGGGCTCGCACGGGTTCCTCCCGTGGCAGGGGAGCAGGGATGTGGCGCTCCCATCCCTGGGGTCTCTCCCCTCTTTGGGGGCCGCTCCCATCCCTGGGGTCTCTCCCATCCCTGGGGGTCTCTCCCCTCCCTGGGGGTCTCTCCCCTCTTTGGGGGCCGCTCCCATCCCTGGGGTCTCTCCCATCCCTTGGGTCTCTCCCATCCCTGGGGGTCTCTCCCCTCTTTGGGGGCCGCTCCCATCCCTGGGGGTCTCTCCCATCCCTGGGGTCTCTCCCATCCCTGGGGTCTCTCCCCTCCCTGGGGGTCTCTCCCATCCCTGGGGTCTCTCCCATCCCTGGGGGTCTCTCCCATCCCTGGGGTCTCTCCCATCCCTCGGGTCTCTCCCCTCCCTGGGGTCTCTCCCATCCCTGGGGGTCTCTCCCATCCCTGGGGTCTCTCCCATCCCTGGGGCCGCTCCCATCCCTGGGGTCTCTCCCCTCCCTGGGGGTCTCTCCCCTCCCTGGGGGTCTCTCCCATCCCTGGGGTCTCTCCCCTCCCTGGGGTCTCTCCCATCCCTGGGGTCTCTCCCATCCCTGGGGGTCTCTCCCATCCCTGGGGTCTCTCCCATCCCTGGGGTCTCTGCCAGGCGCTCCCCGCAGCTCCTGCCAGTGCGGGGTGGGAGCTGCGGGACCCAGCTCGGCTCTGCGCCCTCCTGGGACAGGGATGGACACGGATCTGTCCCCCCCGTGCTGCCACCATTAGCCGCAGATGTCACCCACAGCCCCGGGGGACAGCTGGCCTTGTCCCCAAGGACGTCCTTTCCCGCTGAGGCCACGGAGCTGGGATTTCAGGGGGATTTCCAGCAGCCCTAAGCGCACCCAGGGCAGCAATCCCAGGGATTGGGAGCAGTGGGAGCAGCTCCAGCCCTTCCCGGGGCGGGGGGACAAGGGTCCCACAGAGCCCCTGCCACTGCCAGGAAACTTCTGACCCGAGGTCACCGTTGTTCATGGAGGCTGAGCTGCAGAGAAATAAAATAATAAACAATAAACCAGCCCTGCTGCTTTTCCCCAGCTCAGCCCGCTCTCCCGGGGGTGCAGCTGGATTTCCGTGTCCTTTTCCCCCATTCCCTGGGAGTTAGGGATGAGCGTGGCTCCCCGGTGATGTGGGACAGAGCCAGGACAAGGGACAGGACAAAACGGTGGCACCTGGGGAGGTTTAGGTTGGATATGTGGGAAAATTCCTTCATGGCAAGGGTGGCCAGGCACTGGCACAGCTGCCCAGGGCAGTGCTGGGTCCCCATCCCTGGAGGGATTTAAAATCCATGTGGATGTGGCACTCGGGGACACGGTCAGCGGTGGCCTCGAGGGTTTTTCCAGCCTCAGCGATTCCGAATTCTGTCCCTGCTGCACAGCCCCGTGTCCCCCTGCCTGGGACGGAGCATCCCCAGGTCCTGCTCCAGCAGAGCGCCGGGAGCCCTGGGCCAGCCGAGGGGTTTGGGGAGCCGAGTCCGCCTGGAGCTGCCGCGGGCGAGGAAGGAGAAGAGAAAACGCGAAGCTCACAAACAGGAAGGAGCCGGGCAGGCGCACCAAGGGCAGATTTTATCGGCGCTGGAACGGGGCCGAGCGCTCCTGGCAGCGGCTCCCGGGGAAGGGGAGGCGGGACAGCCGCTCCGCCACTGGGGACGCCGGGGGACACGGGGGCGGGG